CAGTCTTGAATGCCGCATTAGTCTTCTGCTTGTTGCCATAGGGAGATTTGCTACCCTTCAAGACAGCAGGCCTTCGCAACTTTGCCTTCGTAGCAATTTTCCCCATTGCTGCCGATCATATGGTAACGTCTGTAAAAATATGCATATATATATATATCTATCTATCTATCTATCTATCTATCTGTCTATCTATCTATATATATACATCTATATATATATACATCTATATATATATATATATACATCTATATATATATATATACATCTATATATATATATATATAGATATGGATGCAGACATACATGATTGAATGTATGTATGTATATATGTATGTATGTATCTATGTATGTATGTCGTGGGCAAATAGGGGGGCGAGGGTTCTTTTAGCACTATTGTTGTTATTACTGTGACTTGTTAGCTTGAGTGCTATTACGATTATTGCCAATTACCATTATTACAAGAATTACATTTATTACAATTATTACAATTACTACTATTGTTACTAATATTTGCTGTTACTATATCTACTGTCATTACTAGTACTACCATTACTACTGTCATGAGCTATAACTACTGTTATGTTGCTACCACTGTTATTCCTACGATAATTACCATAAGTGTTTATTGTAGTACCCGTCTCGGAAAGCAAGCGGCTCGTTGAGAAAGTTGAAGAGAGGGTGCACTTTCCTTGGAGTCCGAGGCCTAGAAAATGCTGAGGCTTCGGGTTGAGGGTCTAGAGTTTGGGGCTTGGCGAAACTAATTCCGGCGAGCTTCATGTGTGGCTGGTTGATGGTGGACTGAAGCTCCTCCATCCTTAGCTTGCCAGAAGTTGCCATGGGTCCATGATCAATGGCGTCACAGTACGTATCGACTGGCCAAGCTGCAGCTGCTTGGATAGCAGAGAGAGGACCTTCACTTGGTTGATGGACATGGTCTTTTGCTGCCGGGTGTAAGCATACTCGACGAATCCTTAGCTGATTGAAGTGGTAAATGCCTGAGGCTCCAAACAGTTCAGGTCCTCATGCTGTCAGGCATCGTTGGATTCGCGCAGCAAGTATGTGGTCAACCGAGTTCTGGTTCAAGAAGCGCCGCATCTGCCAGAAGTCCTTGGAGGCCTTGCGATGCTGCTACTGCTGCTGCTGCTGCTGCTACTACGACGACTACTACTACTACTACGACGACGACGACTACGACGACGACGACGGCGATATCTGAGCACCGTGGGCGCAAAACAGCGCTTCACAACACATCGCTGCCTCGCCTCTTCGGACATGGCGCGCAGCTGGCCAAGGCTTGCTGTTATGCTTCCCACGACGTAAGCAAAGCCGACCTCGGAGATGCTCCCATATATATCTATATCCATATATATATATATATATGTACACGTTATACACATATAACAATATACGTGTGCACGTATATCTCTCTCTCTATATATATATATATACATGTATATAGACATACATACATATATATATATACATGCATACATACATACATACATACATACATACATACATACATACATACATATAGTTTTTATTTATGTATCTAGTCAGCTTTTTTGAGTCATTTATTTGTTTGTCTATTTACCTTTATATTTGTTTATCGATTAGTTGATTTATATATATATATATATGTATGTCTGGATACACAAGAACAAAGAATCGATTCGCTGGATCCCTCGGGCCGGAACCAGAGCAAAAATCACAACACCGATCGTGAAGCCCCGCTCGATCTCGTTTGTCGGTGTGACGTCCATGCCTGGTCAGGGAAGAAAGTCCACAAGTTTAGGGTTTAGGGTTTAGGGTTTAGGTGTACGAATCTACTTGCCAAATTTCGCGTCAGTTGGTTACAGTTAGTTGGCACCTGCTGGGGTGAACTGGGTGAGGCTCCAGTGCAGGGACACCAGGTACCTGCGCGCAGTTTTGGCATCGCCGCACATGCAGGGTCACGCCCTCTCGGCCAGAGCAAGTGAGACTGAGAACCGGACAGATGTACCCAGTCGAACGACTCTAAGCTCATTGTGAGGCGCAATGTGTCAACCCACGTGTTGACACCTGCCAAAACGGAAAGACACTGCGCCTCTTGCCAAGTTCGCACGACTGGCCAATCGAAATTGTGACGGTCCTCCCGGCTGCAGATCTGCCAACGCATACCAGGCACATGCAATCACGTGGTTCACCTCCGAGCACGCTGCAAGTGGCAAGCGCACGAAAGAGCCCCGCTTCCCGGCATATTGAAACCCAGTCCAAGGGGCAGTGAAGAGCAGCAGCATCATCTTGAAGATATTGAAGAGCACCTTGAGCCCCATGTGACTCATGTTGAACCGCTCGGGACTGAGCACTTCATCTAACAATGCAGGGCAGGTTGCACTGTAGTACTCAGAATCGAGGGCATCTTCGATCTTCTCAAACAAACCTGCAAGCTGCAGGTCGTGACACCCACAAATGACAAAGGCGCAGCACCAAGAGACCGGAAGCAGCCAAGCCACGCTTTAAGCGTACGAGTCTCAACAAGCCTCGGGCAGGAAAGCGAGGCTAAAGCCACTAAGTGAGGATCAGGCGGAGTTTCGAGGCTCTAGTGCCAGCGAGGCGCGGATCACTCGTGCAAGCCTACAAAGCAGACAAAATTGCTCGCATTTACCACTTCCTGTACCCAAAGCTCAGTGCCGACTTCCAGCCTCACGACCCGTAGCATCCGCACCTGCAAAGCGCCAAGGCCAGGATGGCTTCTCTCCCGAACCGGTTTAGGGTTTAGGGTTTTTTGTCAGTGCCATGCGCGCA